AGGAAAAAAGCTGTGCTTCCCTGGGGAAGCTCTCTTGTGGGTGTTCAGTTCCCTCCCCATCCCAAACAGTATGTTCTTCCTCTTAATGTAGCAGAGATTGGTCCTTGCTCCTCAGCACAAGCACCAGCTCTTAGAGCCAGTCACTGTCCCTTGGGTTTTGCCTCTGGAGCTCCTCTCTGGGTCATTTTCTCCCCAGCAGTCCCTCAGACACCCAGCACAGCGTGGCTGGAAGGTCCCTCATGTCCTTTAGGGCAGCTGAGCTCCTTGCCTTGCCAGCTGCAGCTCTCAGGCAGGCGGTGGTGGGAGGGCTCTCGTTCTCGTCGAAATAATGAATCATTCTCCCAACTCGGAGGCGTCAGAATGCAGCTGAGCCCTCTCTGCTTTGTCCTGTGTCTGCTGAGCTGGGACTCATAGTCAGAGCCCTTGTGTGGCCTGATCCCAAGCAGGGGTGGGCGAGGGAAATGTGTCACCCCCTGACCTGGAGAGGCAGGGTCAGGAGTTCAGGATTTTGGCTCTCAATGGTGCTCAGGGAGCTCCTGCACGAGCTCCTTCAGCAAAGATGTATCTGGAGCAAGCAAAAAACTTCACCACAATTCCTCCTTCTGTTAGTGGAAATGTGTCCTGGCTCAATAGGAGCAGGAGGATGCAACTCCTGCCAATCTTCAGAGCCCAGGAACTGCTTAGGGAATTAACTCTGAGTGATACATTGATTTTCCTCCTGTTACACTCAGCTGAGGCCTGACCCCCTTCGGCCCAGCCAGCCTGGGAATGTGCTCCTAGCTTAATTTAAGGGAAATCCAGCTAGGGCAGGACTCTGAGGCCACATCCCTGGGGTCGGGGTCCTTGGTGTCTCAGTGCCACCCTTGCATCCGTGCTACTCTGCTCTGTGTGTGTGTGTGTGTTTGCAGTGAACAGCATCACCCTGGCGGTGAATCTCGTGGGCTGCCTCGCGTGGCTCATTGGAGGTGGCGGAGCTGTAAATTTTGGACTGGCAATTCTCTGGCTCATTCTCTTTACGCCCTGCTCCTATGTCTGCTGGTTTAGACCTATTTACAAAGCTTTCAAGTAAGTGGTTGCACCTGAGCCTGGCTTCTTTCTGCATTGTTTTCCTTCATAAACGGTCAGTGTTTAGCTTGGGGCATTGCCTGACTAATTGGGGGAATTCCTTTCTGTGCAGCCCTTTAGCTTTACTTTCTAACCTTCAAAACCAGAGTGTTTGGGACTTCCAGGTGATGTAAGGACACTTTCCTTTGCCTCTGTGCAGTGGTGGGCAACAGTAGTGAGGATGCACCTGGGGTACCATTTTCCCTCTCACCCCTGAGACATCTCTTATATTTTTCCACAAATCCTCGAGGTGTTTGTACAGATTACCCATGGTGCTGAGGTCAGTCCCCAGATCTGGAGAACTAGGGGTGTATTTATTCCCCATGTGGGGTGGTGTGAGCTGAGAGTCGTGTCCCAACACAGATGTTCTCAAGCCGTGTCCCAACACAGATGTCCTCAAACCGTGTCCCAACACAGATGTCCTCAAGCCCAGCTGACTGAGCCATAGGGAGGGGTCTGGTGCCCCTTGGCTTTCCCAGGTGCCCCTTTACCACCTCCAGCCTCTTGCAAGTTTCTCCTCTGCCTTTAATTTTTCTTTCCATCACCCTCCTGCTAAACCACGGCAGGGTCTGATACGTCGGAGCATCTCCCTTCCCTTGGAGTGCAGTGGGATGGAGGTGCAGGAGTGACTGAACCTTCTCTTGCAGGACAGACAGCTCCTTCAGCTTCATGGCCTTCTTCTTCACCTTCATGGCCCAGCTGGTGATCAGCATTATCCAGGCAGTGGGGATCCCTGGATGGGGGGTCTGGTAAGGAAAATGCTGCTCTGTTGGGTACAAGGGTGGTCACTGTGGTGTTTTAGCTTCCTTACTGGTTCTCTCCTTGGTGAAGATGGTTTGAGGCGCTGGGAGGGCTGCTGGCAGTCTGGGAGAGCTGGTGAATGAACCAATTGTTTCCATCTCCTTGCAGTGGCTGGATTGCAGCGATTTCCTTCTTTGGGACCAACGTGGGCTCGGCTGTGGTGATGCTGATCCCCACCGTGCTCTTCACAGCCATGGCAGTCTTCTCCTTCATCGCTCTCACCATGGTATGGCAGGAAGAGCAGGGGTTCCACGTGGCTTTGGGTGGCCCTCCTGCCACCCCGGGAGCTCCGTGCCGGCCGCAGGCGCTGGGATTTTTCTGGATTTTCCCTGCAGGTGCACAAGTTTTACCGGGGCAGCGGTGGGAGCTTCAGCAAAGCGCAGGAGGAGTGGACCACGGGGGCCTGGAAGAACCCCCACGTGCAGCAGGCGGCGCAGAACGCGGCCATGGGGGCGGCGCAGGGCGCCATGATGCAGCACGAGACGCAGTACTCGGCCACCCCCAACTACACCTACTCCAACGAGATGTGAGCAGCAGCAGGACTCTGTCCTCGGGAGGAAGAGCTGGGGGGGAAAAAAAGGGAGGAGGAAGCCTGAGCCTGAGTTTCTGCAGCTGTCTCAGCAAGTCAGAGTGTACCATAATGGTGGTTCTTTTCCCGTCTTTGTAACGAGATCCTTTGGGATTTTTTTTCTTTCCTTTTTTTTTTTTTTCCTGTTTTTCTTGTCTTGAGCTCTTCTTTTCTCCTTTCTTTTTCGTTCTGAAGAGGCCGTGAGTTGACCTGCAGGGCTCTTGTTGTGCGTGGTAGTCAGTGTCCGTTCACGTGTCTTCTTTTTCCCTGTGGAATAGTGTACGGTGGTGGTTTTTTAATTACTGTGGTGATAGGTGTACGTTAGAACCTCATCAGCCAAAAGCCCCCCCATGCCCCCAAAAAGGGAAAAAGAGCAACCAGCACCCATCTTCCCCTCTTGGAATAAGCCCCAAACCTCGGGTTTTTGACGTGTGTGAGTTTTCTCTTTCAGTTGGTAGTGTCCAGCCACTTGCCACTGTCTCAGCAAGGGCAAGCAATCCTGGGAATTCTCCTTTTTTCTTTTGCTTTTTAACTAGCAGGTGGCTGGCTGATTTAGGATTAAAAAAAAAAAAAAACAGAAAAAAAAAAGGGAAAAAAATATAAGAAACCCTCAATCCTGCTGTTGATATGCTGGAAGCCAAGAGATTCCTAATCTACACCCTGGCTCAGGATCTACAACTTCTCTCAGTGTGTGGTGTTGTGAGTAGTTTACACTTCAACGTGGAGGACCAGTGTGTGTGTGTGCACGTGTGTGTGTGTTGGGGAGCAAGGACAGGTTTTCCCTGTGGGATACAACCATCCCATTCCAGATTCTGCATCCTGAGTCTGTTCTTTTTAAAGGCTTCTGTTCTGAAAAGCAGCTGTAAAAGCGACAGAGCGTTCCTCAGAGGACTGACACTTGGGCAAGGCTGCGGGTCAAATCTTGCCACCCCGAATCCCAGCACATCCAAGCAGTCTCCCTGCTCATGGAAATAGCCAGGCCAAGGTTTGTCCCCGTTAGCTTTGGAGGTTTGTGCTAATTTAATCTCTTAAGGAAACCTCCAGGCTGGAGGGAAGGACTCCTGCTCACTTGCACTCCTGAAAAGCATGGTGAGATGTGGCCCTGTGTTTTCCTGGTGCAGAAATCCCTGTCAGGCCCAAATCCCTGCCCAATTTGGGGATGTTTGACATTAAATAATGATCCTGCACCCTAGCAGGAGGCAGCTGAGCTCAGACCAATACTTCTTGGGGAAGGTGACTGGCACACCCTTGAAAAGATTATGAGTGGGAGCATAAATGGGATGGATGCTGCAGGGCAGGAGTAGGGAAAGCTACTTCTCTGAGATGCTTTTCAACTCTAAATGCACTTTAAATAAGCCAAATTTTTCTCCAAGTCCTCGAAAAGCAGCCCAAACAGAATCCAATCCAGCCCTGTGGCTCCAGTATCTCCTGCCTGGCCCAGGGAAGGAGCTCAGTGTGCCACCAGCCAGGACTGTGCGAGTCCCCAGCCCCGTATCTGTCCCCTCCAGTGATGCTTGGATGTGACCCCTACCCCTGAGAATCACCCCAAAAAGGACCTTCTCTTCTCCAGCAAAGCACACCAAGACTAGTTTCCTTTTTAAGGGTGTCACTCCAGTCATTCTGCAATAGGCAGTCGTCTCTTGACCAGACTAAAATGCAGCTACTGATAAAATGCCTGTCTCTGTGTGTGTGTGTGTGTGTGTATTTATGTATAAAATGTCAGGAGAAAAGTAATCCTTTGCTAAGCCTATTATGTACTTAATCAGGTTTAAATATTGTGCAATCCATTTCTAGCTCGCCTAAAACTTACTCTGCCAAACCACGTGCTCTGTCATCCGTGTCTGAGAAATGATGGATTAAGTGACTTCACCTCTTGCATTGACAATAAGATGCATCAATAATAACTGTAACGAGCTGTAACTAACAGACATTGCTTCAGCACCTAACCCTCCTCTCCGATGTGTCTCCTGAGTGTGTGAGCGCTGAAATGTGGCCCCCGTGGCTCCAGCCTGGTGGGAAACTTGACCCCTCGTTCTCACCTCGGTTATTTGTAAGCTGTCCCTGCTCCAGATGGGGCTGATGTGGGTGTGATCAAAGTGTGGTGCTCCTGAAGCCCACAGGGTGGGAGAGATGGGCTGTTCCTGCTGCTGGGCAAGAGGCTTCTCATAGAACACACCTGGGCTTCTCCTGAGGCGTCCCTGTCACCTTCCACATCCTGCAGAGCACAGCTCTCTCTGCCTCTTGCTGGCCTTGCTGCTTGTTTGTAGCCAATATCAGACGGATGTCCAAATATCTGCTGCTTTTGAGCTGGATCTGCACCACGGGCTGCCCCAAGTCTGTCGTGCCCACATAATCATGGGGTGGTTTGGGTGGGAAGGGACCTTACAGCTCCTCCAGCAGCGACACCTTCCACTTCCCAGGCTGCTCCAAGCCCTGTCCAGCCTGGCCCTGGACACTTCCAGGGATCCAGGGGCAGCCACAGGGAACCCTGTGCCAGGGCACAATTGCTTCCCAGTACCCCACCTCACCCTGCCCTCTGGCATGGGAAGCCATTCCCCTCATCCTGTCTGTGCCTCGGACAATGAACACTCGGTCCTTTAATGCACTTTCCCCTGCCAGCTCTGTGAGGCTGCCCTGAATCCCATAGGAAAGGTTTCACTCCTGATCTCTAGCACTTTCCAAGCTCAGATATCACCCCTTTCACTTGAGGGGCCCTCAGGCCCTCTTCTCCTCGACCCTGTTACCCACACGCCTTCTACACCGAGTTTCTTTGGCTTTTGTTACATTCCAAAACCGAGCCACAATCCCAGTTAAGACTGCTTCCTGAGCAGCCTGAAGCCACCCGCTTGCCCTCGGCGAGATCCGCCGCGTAGGCACCACGGGGGCATAGAATGGCACAGAACCGTCGCGGGTGGCAGCACAGCCGCCATAAATCCGGACGGGGCCGTGAGGGGCCGCCATGACACCCCTTCCTCCGGCTGACCGCGCGCGCTGCCCGCACCAATCAGTATCGAGGGCGGGAGCAGCGCGTACTAATCAGCGCTGAGGGCAGGAGCAGCGCGCACCAATCAGCGCTGAGGGCGGAGTAGCGCGCTCCAATCAGCGCCGAGGGCGGGAGCAGCGCTCACCAATCAGCGCTGTGTGTGCCCCGGTTCCCGGTACCCCGCAGTTCCGGTCCTCCCGCTGCTCTCACGGCCCCGCTCCCCTCCCGGCCCTGCCCGGAGCGTTGTTGGGGCGCTGTTTGTCACCTTCTGAGGGTCCCCGCGGCTTCTCGGTGCTGCTCTGCGGCCTTTTGGAGCCTTTTTCAGCACCGCTACCGCATTAAAAGTCGATTTAATGAACCCTTAAGGGCCTGTAAATTGCTTGTTTTCTGGTGGCTGCTTCCCCACAGGTGTGTTTGGGTAAGAGGAAAGCGCGCCCCAGCACTTTTTTAATCGTTGTGTTACATATATTATTATATATACAGCTTTTACTACAATATTTTGCCGTTATTTTATATTTTTACCACTATTTTGCTATTTTTGCCGCTATTTTTACATTTGTACCATTTAAAATTTTCACTTTTTACCGTTGTTTTACCGTATTTATCATTATTTTACCATTTTAATAATTGTTCTATAATTTTATCATTTTTATCCTTTTTATCATTATAATTTATAAGCATTTTGAAAATTTCCTGCTTAAAAATTTACTTTTTAATACCCAGGCTTTAATTTGTAGATGCTTCAGTGGAATTAATTGGAAACATCCTAAGGGTGCTTTAAATAGATAATAATTTTAATTATTTATAAATAATCATCATGATAATCTGATTTTAATTAGATATAGATAAATATGCGAAGCATGGTGATAGCATTAAAATCTCTCAGCCAATGTCCTGCTACATTTCCTCACCTCTTAATTTGTGGGTGCTTTGGTGGAATTAATTGTGGACACTTTGAGAACATCCTAGGGATGCTTTAAATAATAATTTAAATTATTTATAAATAATAATAATCTGATTTTAATTAGATATAGATAAATATGTGAAACGTGGTGGTAGCATTAAAATCTCTCAGCCAGTGTCCTGCCACCTCTTAATTACCCTTGCTAATCAGCAAAGCTGGAATTGGGTTTTTAGTGGAAAGTGTCCCTGCCCATGGCAGGGGTAGGGTTTGGTCACTTAATTTCCTTTCCAACCCAAACCAGGCTGTGAAATTCCTCTCTCTAACCTCCAAATTCTCCCAAAAACCAGGATAGCCTGTGTCCATCTTCTTTCCACCCAAAGTGATTCCAAACAGTTTGAACAACAAGGACAGCACTAAAATGGAACAGGCTTTACTGGTTGTAGTGATTTCTCAAGAGCTGAATTTGCTCTTTGCTGCTTAATCATTAATTGATTATATTTGAGATACTTGTGTCAGTTTCCCTACCAAAACATTCATTTCTGGTTTTTATCAGTGGCAGCAGCATGGGGAGGCCAGGAGGAAGCAGCAGAGCTGAATTAGAGCTGCTAGGGAATTATTTCTCGTGCTGCTGTTAATATTTAGGGACACAGTGGGAAACAAGATGGTTTTGCATGCAGTGAAGCCCCACATTTTTAATTATTAAGACATCTCTGTGCATTTATTAATCACCAGAGAGTGCAGAGGGAAAGCATCTCAGCAGGGGTTTGTTTGCCTTTAGAGAACTTGGTGTAAAATTTTATCCCAAATTGATTTATTTATCTGCCCTAAATTCTGGACCACGTTCAACATGTGGGGGTGTTACTTTTGGAGGGTATGAATTTTACCAGGGTGCTTTTGTGGCCTATCTGCTCAAGGTTTAGGCGTCTGTTTCCAGTATCTGAGAGGAAAATGTAATTAAACATTGAGCTGCCCTTAAAGTTCTGTAATCCCTATGGGATGGGTGACATTTGGGGGTTGACCCAGAGCCATCCCATCTTTGTGGGTCCTGCAGAGTCCAGGTGAGAGCCCCCTTTTTGGCAATGTGTTGGGGTTGGAGCTGTGTTAGCTCAGTGTCTCTGTTTCCCTGTGCCTGCACAGCTGGATTGGAGCATGGAGCCCATCTCCCTGCCAGAGCCAGGCATTCCTGCAGGAAACAGCTCATCTGTGGCACAGGAAAAGTTCCACGTGCTGCTGGGAGTGACTGGAAGCGTGGCTGCCCTCAAGCTGCCCCTGCTGGTGGCAGAATTGCTGAAAATCCCTGCGGTGAGTGAAGCTCTTGGTGAAGTTGGAGTTACCCTGGTTTTGGGGAGTGCTCACTCTGCCTTCTGCTGAAATAACAAGTTCCTCCTTGGGGGTCTCTTAGTTCAAAAATGTCTCTGAAGAGAATTCCACCTGTTTTTTAATTTTTTTTTTTCTTTCTTACCATTTCATCCTTCAAACAATCTTTGCTTTGGGTGTTTTGTTTTTTTCTGGAGTTTGTCCTTGTCAGTCAAGTTATCAAACAAGGTTGCAGACAGAGGTGATGCTTCTGAAATTTGAAATCTCCAGGGTATTGCAGTTTTCCTATGGGTGGGATATGGCTTTTCCAAATGTGATCCAGAAAGGGAAAACAGACCTTGTAAAAGCAGAAATGGAGAACACAAGCTGCTATATGTGTTTGTGTAGTATTTTTTTGCTATTTGTTGTCTGGAATAACAGAGGTGCCCAGCAGGGGCCACTGGTGCCTGATCAGGGAGGGAAATGTGCTAATTTTGCTGTAGGATAAAGCTAAACATGGAAAACTTTTAGGTTTTTAGAAAAGAAATAAATATTTTGGAGCAATGAAAGAAAAGAGTGGCAGGGGCAAGAGGGGTGCAGTGAAATGTGCAGATTTATTGATGAGATTGCTGCATGAATTTCCTTTGGGAGGCTGTACCTTGCGGGAACAGTCAGTAGAGGCAGAGGAGGTGCTGGTTGATCTGCTTGGTGTTGTCACCCAAGCTGGGAAGGGAGCTGGAGGTGAGGCAAAGGGAGGCCTCAGTTAATTTATGACTTGGCCTGATGTGATTAGTGAGGTCAAAGGTCCCAGCCTGAAATAAAGACAAAGAAAAATGACATTAAGGGTGACCAGCCCAGAGCCAGAGATCTTCTAATCCTCTCCCTCTTGGATTAGCTTGGCTATTGTCCATTTTTCATTGCTCCTGGAGCTTGGGACATCCTTCTGTGCAAATGACCCGTGGCGGGAACCTGGCTCAAACCCTTTGCTTCTCTCTGAGTGTTTGTTTCATAATTAAAAGCTGCAGACAGCTGCACTCAAACTCCCTGTGCAGCCCCAGAGGTCTGTGACATCCAGTGCAGACTTTGTGGTTGCTGGTTTTAGGGGCAGAAAAAGCAAAAGTGAGACATCCAGGAGTTTTTAAAAGCTTATTAATCAAAGTTAGTTACTTATTTCTGCTGTGATTTCAGGGCCTGCTGAGTCAGTGCAACTTTGCCATGGCATTTATTGATCCTGCAGCAGGCTGTTGCATCAATTCCTTTACTGCTGGAGCAGAACTTTACAAAGCAGGCAGGGCAGGAGCAGAATATGGCTTTGATAGCAGAGGAGATGTGGTCACAGGCTTGCAACCAGAGTGGTTAGTTTAAATGGATGTTTTGCCTGAAATGCTCTGTGGTGAAGGACTTGGCAGAGTGATTTTGCTGCTCATTAAACTTTAACACCTCCTCAGTGGTGCCAGGGGATGTGACAGCTCACTGCCTCTTGCTTGAATTGTCCTTGACTTGTCCTGGCAGTGTCCCAGGCCAGGCTGGACAGGGCTTGGAGCTCCCTGGGATAGTGGAAGGTGTCCCTGCCATGGCAGGGGGTGGCACTGGAACACCTTTAATTTCCTTTCTAATCCAAACCAATCTGTGATCTTAGCTTAAAGAAAGGCAAGGACAGACTTTTTGGTGGGCAAAATGTTTTTTGCTCTTGAAGCTCCAGGATGTCACCTGGACTTCAGGCTTAAATCCCACCCTGTCACTTCATCGTGCTGCCTCAGCCTGTGGGTGCCATTTAACAGAGGAGCTCGTGTGCTCAGGCTGTCTGGGAAGATTTTGCTGTCAGACCTGAGAAATCCATTAAAAAATAAAATAGCCACGTGCACCTCCTTCCCCTGGAAGGGCTGTGCCAGGAGAATCCTCTATCAGAGACCAGCAGTGTTGCCTGAACATGGGCTTTGTGGTAAAGTTTGTTTTGGAGATTTGGCTTAAGCCAAAGCCCTTGAACTAATCTAAACTGTCTCCAGTGAGGGAGTTTGAGTGTGGCCAAACTGCCTTTGCTGCTGAAGATATCCACAGACAAACAGAGGGTGTGCCAGGTAAATAGAATAAACTATGCAGGCTGAGGTAATCCTGAGAACACTGGGCTCTTCCCAGTCTACCTGGAGGGACTTGAGGGAACCAGGAGCCCACCCCAGCAGAAAACCTTCATTAGGGGGAATATTTAACTCACAGAACAACTTTCTTGGGGGCTGGTGGGATTTCAGCCTTCAGGCTCCTTCAACATCCCTCTGGAATGTTCTGCCCTGGAATGGTTGAATGCAGCGCTCGACAGCCAGAACTCTTCCCTAGTCCTGAGCTTATGCTTGGAAGAAATAAATATTTTTTTCAATGGCAGCATTTCAGAGAGCAGCCATCTCCTTCAGACTGCACAGTGGCCTTCAAACCCCCCAGATAAAGAAATAATTAAACAATTTTTTTGCAGACTGAGGTTAACACCTCGCCCGGAGCCTGCGGCACAGCGATAGCACCTTTGTGGGTGTCGCTGCTTGGCTCGAGCAGCTTCCTGTGAGGTGAGGTTAGCATGGAAATAATACACTTAGCTAATGCCTGGGAGTGTGATCTTCATGCTCAAAAACACTATGAACACCTGGCATTCCCAGTCAGAGGTGTTTCAAGAAAAACAGACATTTAGAAGAGGCAGAAAAGCAAATGTACAGTACCAAAAATATGTTGTGCAGCTGTGTTATCCTTCAGAAATTGGGGGAAATTACCAGTGGCCACAATATGCTGAGGCTGGGGTTTTCCACTGCTCCCAGCTGTTATTCTAATCTCATAGGATGTAAGAAGCCAGCACTGCCTGGTTCCCAGTGGAATAAATGGTGCTGGGAGCTGGATTCATGTGCTGTCACATCACTGCTGCTGTTGCAGAGAACTTCTTGGAGCTTGGAGATTTTCAGCAGTTGATTGTAGCAAGGAGTGCACACACCAAGTGCCTCCTCAAGGCACTGTTTTCTAAAAGGAAGGAGCTGCTGGTGGGGCTGATTTCTCCCCATTTCACTGTCAGATCAACAGAACCATGCAGTGGCTTCTGGGAGCTGCTGGAAGGAGCAGGTAGTAGCCAATACCATGGAAAAGTGGTATTTTTCACTGTAATCAGCAGCCTGAAGTTCATCTTCCTCATTACCACTCTTCAGAGTGCTCCCATCCATGTGTTTTGATGTTGATGGGTTTAAGAAGCATCCTTGGGAGGAATTGCAGCTGGAAATTCAGCTCCATGTCCCACATGGGCTGTCAGGGCATGCAGAGCTGGCACTGGCTGACCCTGACATGTGGAGGACACCTCTGGTTCACTGCCTGTGGCAGGAGCTGTTGGCAACATTATCAGAGCTGCAGGACACAGAAAACAGAAAATTTTCCACTTGGGAAGATTTCTGCAGGAGGAAACGAGAGGTTCACCTTAGCACCTTTTGTAAGTGTGTGCCAGATAAACACCTGAAGGATGGGATAGGCTTTCCTCAATAAATGAAGGTTCCAGTGGCTTTGCAGGTTTATCTGAGATTTCAGAGAGAACCCTCATGTGTTCACTCAGTCTGCACAGAAACCCTGTGCTATGGACACAGCTGCACAGAAGTTTTCCCTTGCACTTGGCAGGTGAGGATTTGTCTTTTTTAGGTAGACATGAAATGAGTTTCTGGCTCCTTCAGATGCCTGTGGTGGCCTGGCATTTCAGCTGTGAATAGGGGAAGTTCTTTGAGAAGCCACAAAACCTTCAAAATTCTCAAGGGTAACCAGTGGTCTTTTCCTTTCTGCTTAGCTCGAGGTGAAGGTGGTCACTACTGAGAGAGCAAAACATTTCTACAATGCCCAGGAGATTCCTGTGGCCCTCTATGGTGATGAAGAGGAGTGGCAGGTGAGTTGTCCTTGCAAATAGAAGCATTCCTCTTAAGTTTTCTTGCAAGAAACCACACTTAGTTCTTTTTTTAAACCTGAGCCAAGATTCACTCCTTGGTCTAGTTTGGAATGTGGCTTTTGGAGAACGTGCTGTAAAGGAGGAGGAAGAGAGAGGCTGCCCTGATGCAGTGCAGGATCTTGTCCTGCAGCAGGCAGGGAGGGCAGAGTGGACTCTCTCCACCCTGGGCTCAGCTGCTGTGAGCGTCAGGAAATGTCAAGGCAGCCACTGCAGAGCCATGGTGAGCAAGTTTGGTGCTTGTCATGAGTCATACTTGTCACGCAGGCAGCAGCTCCGTTCTCCTTAGCTCAGCTGTCAGGGCTGTGAACATCTCTGCTCCCTGTGAAATGGCTTTTTCTCCTGACTGCAGTTTTACTGACACACTTTGAGACTCCTTGAGTATGAAGAGGTTTGTTGTACAAGCATCAAGATTTGTTTTTCCATACATTTCATCCCTGCTTTGCAGTGCTGATCTGAGCACAAGGTGCTCTCTCCTTACCCCTATTCCTGCTCACATGTGAGCATCACTTTTAAGTGGATAGAAACACGCCAGTGACAACAGCCAGGAAACTTTCTGGCTGGTCTCAGGGATTGGTGGATACCTACTGGATCCCAAGGTGCTACAGCCTCAGGCAGTTGTTTCTGAGGAAGTGGGGTGATGGAAGGGCTGCAGGTCAGGGTTTGAGGTTTGCTGGCACACTGGAGAGCAGGCACAGAGCCCTTGTGGTGGGAAATAATCACAGAATGGTTTGGCTTGGAAGGGACTTCAAACTCATCCAGTTCCACCCTCTGCCATGGGCAGGGACACCTTCCACTATACCAGGTTGCTCCAAGCCCCATCCAACTTGGCCTGGAACATTTCCAGGGATGGTGCAGCCACAGATTCTCTGGGCAACCTGTGCCAGGTCCTCAGCACCCTCACAGGGAGCAATTTCTTCCAATATCCCATCTAACCCTGCCCTCTGGCAGCTGGAAGCCATTTCCCCTTGTCCTGTTGCTCTAGGCCCTTGTAAATAACCTCCCTCTATCTTGCTGGCTCCTTCAGGCACTGGAAGGACACAATGAGGCCATCCCAAAGCCTTCCTTCTCTTCTCCAGGCTGAACACTGCCAGCTCTGTCAGCCTTTCCTCATGGGAGAGCTGCTCCATCCCTCTGACCAGCTTGATGGCCTCCTCTGGGCTCAGTGTGACAGCCTGCTCAGCATCTCTTGTGAGAGCCTTCACTCTGACAATAACAGGACCAGAAAGGATAGAAGTGAGTGGAGGAGGTGGAAAGGTGTTCAGGAAGCCTCAGCTTTTCAGGTGCTGCCTTTTTGTTGTGGCTTCCCGTGACTCAGAGGAGGAGCAGTTTGTGGCCCTGACACAGCCCATGCTGGCCTGTGGTTGGGTCTCCTCTGGGGAATAAGCACCTGATGCTGTTTGCTGCTTCTCAGGGCTATTTGCCAGTTAAATGAGCTCTTAAGACCAGGGTTCTCTTGAGCAACTCAGGGCTTTAGAGAAAATAAAAATACTCATTAAAGATTGTGTCAAGGAGAAGCTGTGGCTGCCCCATCCCTGGAAGTGTTCAGGGGTGGGATGGGCCTTGGAGCAACCTGGTCAAGTGGAAGGTGTCCCTGCCCATGGAACAAGGTGAGCTTTAAGGTCCCTCCCAGCCCAAACCATTCTGTGATTCAGAGAGCCAAGAGAGAAGTGCCAAACTGGATAAACCTCATCCATCGTGGAGAAAGGCAACAGGACACTGTCCCTGCAGGACTTAGGAGGGTTCCCTTTGCTGCTTTGAGTGTGAGTAGGGTTGTGCATCCTAATTAAAAGTGACATGTTCATTTAGGGGTCTGTACCTTGTGAGAAACCAGTGGGCAGCTTCACTTCTATGTGAAACTTATAAATTACATGGGTTCTTCAGGAAATGTACCCCTGGTTTGGGCCTGCCTGGCTCAGCTGGCTGAGGGATGGAGCTCTTAGGAATAATTACAAAGCTAAGGAATGCATGGATGGGCACAGCTCTTTGCTGTGAGGTGAAACCTGTGGTTATCACATGTGGGAATTGCCTTGTGGGGAAAGGATCCCCCATCCACCAATCCACTGCCATCCCTTAAATTCCATAAGCATAATCCCACAGGAATTCCATAGGAATTCCATAGGAATTGTGGTTCCTGGGTGGGATGATGAGGAGTGTGAGGGTTTGGTGTCTCCCACAGCTGTGGAAGGGCCGCTCGGACCCCGTCCTGCACATCGAGCTCCGGCGCTGGGCTGACCTCATGGTGGTGGCACCTCTGGATGCCAACACGCTGGCAAAGGTCGCCAATGGCATCTGTGACAACCTGCTGGTGAGTACCCAGGCTCTGCCTGCACTGCTGCCACCCCTCAGCACTGCCTGACCTCGCCTCCGTGGAGCCTTGGTGCTTCTGCACCATCACCACCAGTGAGATTTGCATGTTCTGCTCCCATTTCATCTGCTTGTCTCTCTTCCCCAGCATGGTTCCCTGCTCCTTCTCCTTCCTTCCCTGAAATCTATTCCCATTCCTCAGCTCTCTCAGTCTCTCATCTCATTTCCCAGCCCTGCTTTGTGTTCTCTGCTTTTTCTAGAGGGTGGTATTTCTTTGTGCCTCCATCCTCTCTCTCTGTCACTCGTACACACAAACACACACTCACTCACTCCCTTTTGAGTTCCTCTACATTTTTTTTCAATGCAATCTGGAAAGACACCTGTGAGATCAGATAAAACTGTTTACTTCCTGCTACTTCACCACCTCCCTCACATAACATAGCACAGACTTTCAAACATGCTCATGCCCACTTACCTCCCAGCCTCAGCTACAGAGGATTTTGCTTGTTCAGGCTTGTTTTTTGGTATTTAAAGGGCTCTTGAGCTCTTCAGCCTAATCAGAAAGTGTATTTAAAGGGAGTGTGCTTCTTTGTTGGGTGCTGGGGACCTTCAGTGGGGCTGAATAGTTTGTGGCCAGGCATTAACCACACGAAAGATCTCAGGAAGCTGCAGATCTGCGTGACCTACAGCCTTTTGGGTAAGAAGTGCATATAAATGAACAAAATCCACCCAGAGCAGATCACTGGGGATCTGAGAGAAGCCAGAAGGAGCTGTGGGAGGGACAAGCAATGTCTTGTCCTTCTGGGTCCCTTGTGGGTGTGCTGAGGGAAGAGCTCAGGGTGGATGTCAGGGATATGTGGCTTCACAGGCTCCTGCCAATCTTTGAGAGCCTTGTGGAGGGAAGAGGCAGCTCCAGGAAAGGGAAGTGAGTGCTGGAGGTGCTGGTTGGCAGTTCAGAACAGATTCCATCAGATTTCCTTGTGCTGGGAAGGGTTCAAGTCACAGGGTACAAAAAAGGATTCCTGTAAGGACTCTGTGATCAGAGCTGCTCCCTTGGAAGCTCCTTTGTTTGAAATGCTGCAAGGCCTGGGGAATCCAATGGACATTGCACTAAGAACAACCAGCATTATCTTTCCAAGGGGATGAGGTGATCCTGGGATATCTGGAAGTGCTGAGGAGTCAGATTTGATTGCCTGTAGCACACAGGAGCTGCCAGATGCCTTGCAACCTGCCAGCATCTCCTGCAGCAGCCCATATGTGCTCGTGCTCTCCTCTGTTGTATCCTGGAAGCAGCACTGCTTCCCTTACAGGGAGTTATGGATCCAGCTGGCATTTCATGTCAGAAAGACTCATTGCCAACTTTCAGTGTTCAGCTTTGTTATCTGAAGTGTTGCCCTGGAGGTGTCTTTGTAGTCAGTAAGATCTGTGGCCACCTCTCAGCTCCTCTGTATCTCACAGTCTGTACACATCCTCTTCCAGCTTGCTTTGCTCCAGCCTGGGCTGCTGCCTGGAGCAGGGTGGGATTTATCCTCTGCCTGGCCTCCCTCATCTTTCCTGCCTGTCAGAGATGAGCTTGGCTGGAATGTGCTACAAATTCATCCCAGCCCATGGGTTAGCCCAGCTGTGCTGACAAAACAGCAGCCAGGCTGGAAAGGTGCAGCAGAGGGATGGGAAGGAGTGAGGAGATCCCAGCCCATGGGTTAGCCCAGCTGTGCTGGCAAAACAGCCAGGCTGGAAAGGTGCAGCAGAGGGATGGGAAGGAGTGAGGGGATCCCAGCCCTGCCATGGCTTCTCCTGCAGACGTGTGTGATCCGCGCGTGGGACCTGAGCAAGCCCCTGCTCTTCTGCCCAGCCATGAACACGGCCATGTGGGAGCACCCCATCACTGCTCGCCACGTGGAGCAGCTCAAGGCCTTTGGCTACACGGAGATCCCCTGTGTGGTGAAGAAACTGGTGTGTGGAGATGAAGGTCAGTCCTTTTCCTGGCTCCTGCCCCTTTCCCTGTCCTGGAGGGATGTGCTGCCTTTTGCCATGTGGCCACAGAGATGTTGAACTGCCATGGTTTGTACAAACAAGCTGAAGCTTTGCCCTGTGTTATCCCTCATCATTAATTTTTAAATAGCCTTAAGAGCTTCCAGCTGAGCCTGATACTGAAGAGATGCTCATTCAGGAGGAAAGGACATCAAAGAGAAGGAAGGTTCTGTGATTTACCAGCCTGGGATTTGGGTGTCCTGATTTTGCCCTCTGCTGGGACTGGGGGCTGTTTTCATTGTGCCTCAGTGTGGCTGTGTTTGCAGGGGTCCCAGGATGAGGGAAGAGATGGGAATCTTGACTCCATGTTTCAGAAGGCTGATTTATTATTTTATTATATATATTATACTAAAAGAAAATTATATATTAAAACTATACTAAAAGAATAGAAGAAAGGATTTCATCAGAAGGCTAGCAAGGAATAGAAAGGAATGATAATAAAATCTGAGGCAGCCAGACTGTGATTGGCCATTAATTAAAAACAACTCTATGAGACCAATCACAGATGCACCTGTTGCATTCCACAGCAGCAGATAATCATTGTTTACATTTCAGGCCTCTCAGCTTCTCAGGAGAAAAAAGATCCTAGCAAAAAGATTTTTCATAAAATATGTCTGTGACACCTCAGCTCCATCACTGGGATTAAGTCTTGTCTCTGAGTGCAGACAGTGAGAAAAGCCCTTTGCAGATGTGGCTGGGGGTGTAGCTGGACACACATTTAACATTTGTTGTTGTTGTTGCCTGGGTTACTTTTCAGCCTCCCAAACAATCTGTGATTTGGGGTTTTGACTCCAGAGTTCTGTGAAGTGAAAGAGGGGTGTGGAGGAAGTGCAGACTGAATACATTTAGCTTGCAGTGCTAAGAAATAATGCTCTCATTTGAGTTTTAGTAGCTTGCTTGGAGGTATTTTGACTTTTGGAAAGGGTTTTGATACAAACCACTTGGATGAATGGATATGCTTTTTATTAAAATTTCAGTGGGCAAATCTCTGTAAAACATGCCTTAGTTCCAGCCACAACCTACACCTACTTCTGTGTAACAGCCCTGGCTCCAGCAGGATTTTAACCACCCTGTCAGTCCAATAAAGAGTCTGTGACAAAGACAGGCTGTTAAAATGTCCCTCGTGGTTAAATTCCAGGCCTGACTTGGTTTTGGAATCCTTAGGTAGGTGCAATGCCTCCATGCATTTGTACTTTTGGAACTGAAAATTAAAAAACATTTACAGTTAGGTAAGTGTAGTCAAGTAACTGAGACATCAGTTGAAATATCCTAGATGATTAGCCTTCCACTGGGATTTTAGACACGATGACATCAAATTTCTTCATGTCCAGCTCAGCTGTCTCAGCTGTGAGAGCAAACTCCTGAAGGAGCTTGGAGGAGAGGGATGCAGGCATGGCAGGAGCAGCCTCATCTGACTGGACTCCACTTGTGCTCGTGAGTCAATTCCCAACAAGATCTCCCTGATGGCAAACACCAGCACTTCTCCTGGCAGCCTGTAGTGAAATTATGGCAGGGCACTAATGGATTCCATCTCTCTGAAGACTAAACTTGTCTCCACAACTGAATTTTTTTCACCCCTTCCCCTTTTCTCAGGCCTTTCACCCCACAGCCTCTTCCACACTCACTTTGGTTTTGTGGCTTCCATCCACGCAGGGGTTTCCCTGGTTTCCACACAAGCAGCATGTAGCAAAGCTCACACATGTGGTGCAGGAGAGACTCAGTTTTGTCTGTTGATGTTGTGGTTTGTTTTGCTCTAGGAGGTTTCTCTTCCTCACCCTGTGTGGTTGGGTCTCACCTGAAATGCAGCAGATCCTTACTGCCCCTGAGTTTTATCTGATGAATTTTTCTCCTTTAGTAAAGTGTGGGTTTAGACAGAAAGTCCAGCTAAAAGAATTAGAATACCAAACTGAGTTTTTTAACTGGATAGTTTCCACACTGCCATTGTCTTCATTGTGCTTGGCTGCATTTCTAGAGCCTGTCACACTGGCAAATTTCCACCTGTAGGCATGAGCTGTGCTGTAAGAGTTTGCTTTGCTAAACCTCAAAATCCAGCACTGAATTGCCAGAGGTGTTGGAGTAGTGGATGGTGGAGGGAGGAAGAAGGCAGGCCTTGGAAGTGCTCTGGAAGGGTGTAGCTCTGCCCAACCATGCAGAGGGAGTTTCTCTTGTCAGGTGCAGCCCTTCTCCCTGAGCTTAGGAGAGCAGAAGGGTCCAAATCTGCCTGCAGCTTGTCCACAGGGTGCTCCAGACATCCTGGGATTTACAGGTCTGAAAAAGATGAAAACAACATTTCCCAGAACTAATTTCTGCTGAGCAGTAATTTATGATATCAATTAGCCAGCAGGATAAAATACCAAGAGAGAGACTCCTTTTCAGTCTTGCAAGAGACAAATACCTGTGGGAGAAGCATCTTTCCTCGGCTCCAGGCAAATTAGAAGAGTGAATGGCCTCAGTTCCCAGTGCTGAGCTGAGCACACAAGGTTAGACAAGGTGATTTAATCATCTCAGGCTTTAAAATTCTGAACCTGAGTTTAAAATTGCTTCAAAGGAAAGCAGCAGCACAACATAGATTAGATGTTCATCTGGCTGATCACCAGGCCCAAAGGAAAGGCCTTTCCATTTTGTTCTGTCCAGCACTCAGCCTTCTCCAAGTCCCAGGAGAAGTCTGGTGACAATCCACAACAGCGTTCTCTAATGGAGGTCCTTTCTCCCAGGCAGAGCCATGGGAATGGTATGGATTTGTCAAGTCTTTTGTGTAGGCAAAGACTATTTCAGAAAGATTCTGAAACCACATAATTTTGCATTGAAATATACCCTGGAGAAAGGAGGTGAGATAGGCAATTTTGCTTGGCACATTTTCTTTAGGTTGCCCCCACCCTGGATTTCACCGTGTGCTTTTGCTCTTGCCCTGCAGGCCGAGGTGCCATGGCAGAAGTGTGGACCATCGTGGAAAGAGTTAAAAAGATCCTT